GCAGTAGGTGGCGGGACAGGCCTGCTCTGGGCTGCCCTCCCCGCCCCCGCCCCCCGGGGAGCCGGCGGAGGCCCGGGAAAAGCTGATGTTGCGCTCCTGCTGGCCGCCGGTCTCGTTGCGGAAGTGCGGGCAGCTGAGCAGGAGGGCGTTGCTGTTGTCGTCCCCGGGGTCGGGCTCCAGGTTATCCTTGTAGCTCAGTTCCTCGGTGCTGAGGAAGGCGGCGGCGGGGGGCTCCAGGCTCCCCAGGCCGCAGGACCGGGAGACGGCGGCCGAGACGGCGGAGGCGGCGGAGGCCCCTGTGGCAGTGTTCCTCCTCTGGGCCACGTAGGCCCGCCGGGCCACCACCGCGTTGAGGTCGAAGAGCATGCTCTGGGTGTCGTAGTGGGCAAAGCTCTTCGGGCACAGCCAGGCGCGGCCCCCTTCCGGGCCCTTGCCTTCCTCGGGGTCCGAGAGGGCCCTGCTGGCCTCCTGCTCCCCCCGCCCGCTCCGCAGCTTCCGGAAGATGGACTCCCCCCCGCCGCCTGCCTCTGCCTTGGGGCCCTTCTTGCGGGACTTCTCCTTGTGCTGCAGGGAGGACTCGTCCCCCGGCAGGGGCAGCCCCTGACTGTCCCTGGCTTCGGCCCTGCCCCCCTGGGAGGCCCGGCCAGGCTCCAGCGGCTGGGGGAGCAGGGTCCCGCCGCGGAACTCCCGGAGCATGTCGTAGAACCTCTGCTCGGAGATGCCCTGCACGTCGATGGAGGAGGTGCTCCCATACTCGCGGAAGAGGGGCAGGCCGCCGGCCAGCCGGGCCCCCCGGGGCTCAAAGGCCTCGTCCAGGTCGCACTCGCTGAGGGTGATCTCGCTGCTGCTCCGGTTCCGCAGCGGGAGGAGCCCCCGGGCCGGGGAGGGGAGCCAGCTGTCCTGGAACTCGGCATCCTTGGACCTCCGCCGGGCCAGGCGCTGGAAGCCTCTGAACCCCGAGGGGACGGCCCCGCCCGGAGGCTGCCCGTTCTGGAAGCCCCGCGGCGGCACGGGGGCCGGGGCCTCCGGGTCTCGGGGTGGGGCGGGGTCCTTCAGCCCTTCTCTCTTGGGAGGCCAGTCGGCGATTCTGGCCCGGACGCCCATCTTGGGCATGGCCGGGGTCGCGGTGGCCAGCCGCGGGGCCGCGGGGCCCTCGAGGTGCCTCGCGCAGCCATTCTGAGCCCAGAATCCCAGGGAGTAGTAGTCGCCGCCTTTCAAGCCGGGCCCCCCAACATCTCCGCTCTCGCGAACAGGTCGATACGAGGTCATAGTCCCAAGGCAGCACTGACTCCTGCGCCCGGCCGGAAGGCACCGCTCATCTCCATCGGGGCACGCAGGCCTCAGCCGCTGCCGGGAAGGAAGGCGCCCTCGGCCGCCGGCGCGCCACAGCCCGCTGGAGGACTCGCTGCCGGGCGCCTGCCTCGTGCCATCGCCAGGGACGGTAGCGCTTGAGCACCCACATTGGCTGGACGGAGCTGTGGCCCGGGCCTTCTCCCCACGCTCTCGGCTACTCCAGAGACGGGCGCTGCCGGGATGTTTTCTGGGCCATCCTGAAAGAGAGGAGGGGAGATGGCGCCTTAACCAGGCCTGGCCGGGGTCACCAGGACCAGAGAAGGGGCTGAGACAAAGGCTGGAAGAGCACCCCGCTGGGCGGAGACAAGGCCCTTCCTGTCCCCAAACGCCCAAGTTCTCATGGCTGAGGGGCGAGGAGGAGGAGGAGGAGGAGGAGGAGACTGGATTTATACCCCGCCTTTCACTACCCAAGGGAGTCTCAGAGCGGCCTACAATCTCCTTCCCCTTCCCCTCCCCACAACAGACACCCTGTGAGGCAGGTGGGGCGGAGAGAGCTCTCCCGAGGACTGCCCTTGAGAGAACAGCTCCGAGAGAACTTGTGACTGACCCAAGGTCACCCAGGAACCTTATGCTCACCTGCCCTGAGATGCAACCCTCTCCCGTGCATGGGTGGAGACAGACATCACCCAGCAGCACCCCACAGACATCCAGCAGGGAAGCTGGAATGGGTGGGCTCACTCGCCTCCCCCTCCCCCTCAGCCGCAGCAGGGAGAGACACTCCAAAAAGGGCACACAGGAGGAAAGGCCTGTGGAGAGGACCCCTGCAAGCGAGCCAGGGCAGAGGGGAGGTGAAGCCACACGGCACCCACCCCCCAAAACACACACACGCACACACACATGGTGACCCTGCCGCACTGGCAGAACCTAGAATAAATAAATGGAAGTACAGCAAAGAGAAGAAGAAAAAGAGGAAGAGAAGAGATTGGATTTATACCCCGCCCTTCACTACCCAAGGGAGCCTCAGAGCGGCTTACAAACTCCTTCCTCTTCCCCTCCCCACAACAGACACCCTGTGAGGTAGGCGGGGCTGAGAGAGCTCTCTCGAGAACTGCCCTTGAGAGAACTTGTGACTGACCCAAGGTCACACCAGCAGCTGCAAGTAGAGGAGTGGGGAATCAACCCCCCAGTTCTCCCAGATTAGAGTCTGCGTACTTAACCACTCTACCCAGGGGTCATTTCCTGCGGGAGTGCACAGGAGCGGAGCTCCGGCAGTAAAGAGCCCAGGGGG